ATGCACATGCTTCAGATTATTATATATGATTTGTATTATCCTAATGCCTAGGAACCCCAGTCACAGACCAGAACCTCACGGTGCTAGGTGCTGTACAAAGTTTCTGCCTCAAATTGCTGACAATCTAAGCATAAGTCAAGAGACAACAGCTGGATACAGACAGCCTGGGGGAGTACAAGGAAACAGTGAGAGACTGTGACAGGCTGTTATTTAAAGCAGAGGTTCTCAACCTTTTTCTTTTTGAGGCCACCCCCCCAGCATGCTATGAAAACTCCATGGCCCCGCTGTGCCACAACTACTGTTTTTCTGCATATAAAAGCCAGGGCCGGTGTTAGGGGGGTAGGAAGCAGGGCTGTTGCTTGGGGGCCCATGCAAGAGGGGGCCCTGCAAAGCTAAATTGCTCAGGCTTTGGCTTCTGCCCTGGGTGGCGGAGCTTGGAGCCCTGGGCTTCAGCCCCAGGCAGTGGGGCTTTGGCTTTCTGCCCTGGCGCCAGCAGGTCTAAGGCCAGCCCTGCTTGGCAGCCCCCCTGAAACTTGCTTGTGGCTCCCCCAGGGGCCACGGACCCCTGGTTGAAAGCCACTGATCTAAATCATTGATGAACATATTGAACAGAACCGATCCCTGTGGGACCCCACTTGTTATGTCCTTCCAGCATGACTGGGAACCACTGATAACCACTCTCTGGGAACGGTTTTCCAACCAGTTATGCATCCACCTTATAGTCGCTCCATCTAGTACTCCATGGTACTTTCTATGTACTTACTTTCCTCAGCATTAAACAAAGGCCAACCTTGCAAGTACTCTTGAAATTCAATACTTTCTCACCAGAGAACTTGATCACTATAGCTTGAAAGGCCTCAGTAACTGGACTAGGCTCCGGCCGGAGGTTGGGCGTGCATGTTACATTGCGGTTTTAAAGCTGTTTAATCCTCCCAAGCTTCTGTCGACATGTAAGTGAACTTCTTGTCTCCCAAGCTTGGCAAATTGCTTCGAGCATCATGCACAAGGCAGATGTTAGCAGCCGGAAGCTGCTGTTTCAAGACCCATTTGAAAAAGCACTGGGCCATTCCTACTTAACTGTATCCTTCCCCTCGAAGGAGCCCAGGAGACCTGCCAGACTTCCGGGCATTTCCCCCTGGTCGGTGAGATCACTACAGTTGGTGGAGGGGTCAGTTACAAACAGTGTGTTGGAGGATAGTAGCCATTTTTTCAGCTTGTTACTTTTCTGTTCACATCAGGTTTACAAACGTGTTTGCCAGGCAAAGCTATGTAACCAATGGTTTTTACAAACACCTGGACGCTACAGATGCTTTGGAGGAACTATTTGGCTGCTCATTGGATAGACAGAATTGGCTATTTGAACTGTATGATTGGTCAGCTAAGGCACATGGTAATTTCTGTCCCTCTGATTGGATGACAACTTTCATTTATCATCTACATTTCCCTTCCACTCCAATAGGGTGACCAGACAGCAAGTGTGAAAAATCAGGACGGGGGTGGAGGGTAATAGGAGCCTAGATAAGAAAAAGCTCCAAATATTGGGACTGTCCCTATAAAATCGGGACGTCTGGTCACTCTACACTCCAAACAAGTTTAGGTTCTCGATGAAAGGCATCTCAATGACACGCCCTGAATTCAGAGCTCGCAAACAGTTTACAGCAATAAAACTCTCCAGCAAGGTATTAAGATTTTGGATACAAACAATGCTTTGCATTTGTAGATCTCAAAGCACTTTACAAAGCAGGGTCAACGTAAGTGTCACCTATATTATACATAGGGGGTAACGAAAGCACAGAGAGGTGCAGAAACATGCCCAGGGTTATATAGCCAGGCAGTGGCAGATTGTTATAGAAATGTAAATAGTCAGTGTTCGCCCTAAAGGATTTGAGAGAGCTTAAACAATATACAGGAATCATTTCACATGGTGCAAAAATGCAGCCACCTCTGGGGTGGAATGTGGCAGATGTTTGACAGTCCACATTAACACTATAAAACAGTATAGGAAAGGAAATTTATAATGGTTTCCTCCCTGGAGTATTTAATGACGCAGAATGTATTTAAAGGGACACCAGCTTGAATTTATTTGAAATTGACTAGCTTAAAAAAATAGGAGGCTCCTTATAGAGAAAAATCTGAAGGTTTTAATCTGTTTTCAAAAAGTGCATCAGTGCCTTTTTCTACTCCTTGGCTGATTCTCTGTCCAGGAAGGGAGAGCGCCAAGGCCTGAGAATAACACTATTAACAATGCTCAGGCCCCGCCCCACTCCTATCCTCTCCCCACTTCCCCATAACTGTCTGGTGGCCTCTTCAGCATCCGCATGGAAGAGATGCGGAGCCCAGCATTAACATGGGATCTGCAAAAGAGACCCCTAGCTCCACCACAAGCTCTCCTTGCTCCATGCCTGCCTCCTCCCTGACTGCCACTGTTTTCTAGCTCCACGCGGGGGGCTAGGAAGTAAAGAAGGAGCTTTTCTTAGCCATTGCCCCGGCTCGAGGGAGGAAAAGAAGGAACTGTCCTGCCCACAAACTCCGGCCAACACCCAGCTGGGGAAGCCCATGCCGCTGAACCCCTTTCCCTGCTCCAAACAGTTTACAGTCTAAATACATTTGTTCTAATTTAAGCCCTGATCCTACAATCTCAGAGCCACTGGCCAGGGCCTCTTGAAAGTTCATAGGGCTAAGGACCTGTGCTAGTGGCAGCAACCCCAGGATGTGGCAGCAGAAACCAAAAGTGATATAAAAATGCTGGTGGCCCATGAGACAGGAAGCGAAACTAACGATCAATCAAACAGTGAAACTGGCTGTGCATGAAGCACTGCCCCCAAAGAGAGAGATCTTGCAGCACTGGCTCTAATCTTGCTCCCTTCTAGCCATCCAGTGTTACTTGAGAGCAATACACGACCCATTCTCAGACAAACCCGAGCCCAGGTTAACCAGGTTAGAATTTGGCCAAGACATGAGCGCTAATGAGCAAAACTCTTGCCAGAAAAAGAAAATAGTGTGTCTGTTTTTTAATAGCAGCATCTCATGTGTAAATCAGCCAAGCAGCCTACGTCTGGGCCCGCAGTAACTCAGAGGGAAGAGCATCACCTAGAGAATCACCAGGTCTCTCAGCCAACGCTTGACCCAAGCCTGGCCCTGCTTCGTTTGAGAGATCGCACAGTAGCCCAGCGCAAGCTGGCATGGCTACAGACAGAGCGAGATCTATACCCAGGGCTTGCTTTGCCCGGGCGAGCAGACTGCAGAACCGTTTGCCAATAGCAGTGCAACTAACAAGTACTAGCGACGGTGAAAATGATGGTGTGTAGACTAAGCTCACACAGGGGTCTTCAACCTGATAGCATGAAACTCATCCCAGTCACTGGTCTTACACAATTGCTAGTGGCAGTACAGTTTTGGCAGGGTGAAATTCTGTAGTGTCAACGCCCCCTCTTAGTGCTGAACAAAGATCCATTTTGGTTCGGG